TTATAATTTTTTAATATTTCGGTCCGATCTGGTTAAACCGGTGGTTTGCCGCAGGTAATCCGTTAATCGGACCGGTTATTCTGGTTTTTTAAAAAAATTAACCATTGGATTTTTTAATGCTTTTTTAATCGACCATTTAACCGATCCGTGATCCGGATTGACGGTTTTTTTCGGAATGCACTTTTGGGATGCTAGATGCCAAGATGCATTCGAGGTTGAGAACGAGCGGTGATGGAAGAATCTATTCCTCAGGAACTCCTCCCCACTTTGATCCTGGCCAGGGGCAAAATCTCCCATGGTAATAGAAAAAACATTGTATTTGATCCTATCAGGGGAAGCTGTTTGGTTGTGACTAAATGGTAGTAATCAATAGAAATGACCTGTGTGCCCTTTTTATTAAAAATCGAAAAGGTGCAAAGTCATTTTTCAGGACGAGCTCGACATTCATCGCCATGAAAAAATAATAAAAAAAATGTTTTAAGAATTTCGGATGACGAGATGAAAGTGCTTACCTCAAACAAACAATTTGATTTATCCCAACGTCGCCCAGCAACTACCCGCACAAATTAGGTTTCTTCACAGTCACCAGAAAACGTCATCCATGAAAAAAATGTCACAAATTAGGGTTCTTCGCGGTCACCACGAGTTGAAAGATAACAAGAATTAAACAGATTAAAGAAATCGAAAGCACCTTTCACGCCCTTGAAAAAAAATTCTCCTGAAGGATGCGCGCAGCTACGATGGAAAAGGGAGGGGGCATTCGTCCGCAGTTAGGGTTATTCCTTGGGATGTGAAAGCTTTTTATGTTGGCATATTCGTAATTAAGGTGAAACATAGGGGTCTCACTGTCATTTTGTAGGCATTTTCGAGGGCAAAAAAGGGAGCCACAGTGCAAGATTGTAAAATCCGATGCCCAACACGGGATGAAATTAATCGACCAATTGAGGATTTCTGCTCCACAACACAATGCCACGTGAGTGCCCCGTCAGCTAAATCCTGTCCCAATCTGCGATAGTAAATATTGGATAACTGTAAAATTCTATCCAAATTCTTTAAAGTAAATGAGGCCTTATAGAATAATTGGTAAATAGGTACAAATATGACTCAATAAAAATTAAAAAATATAAATTATATACTTAAAAAAAATATATAAAAAAGACTCAGTTTTAAAACACATACCATTCAGTTTTAAATTAGGTCCACAAGTCTTTCACTTCTTTTAATTGGAAAATAAATTTCAATTTAATTTATTTGCACATTAAGTCCAATGATGATCAGAATCACGTGCAAGATGGATCCCTTTTTGTAATGTTACCAATATGCACAACAATCGTTAATGCTCACGTTGATAACAAATTATTTATTTTTTACATGTATGTCATGTGAAATGTAATTTAACACTCTCTCTTATTCATAATAAGTGTCGTTTTATGAAGTTGCACATTAATTAAAAATAATTTTTTTGTCAATAATAACCTTCTTTAATAAAGATAATGATGAATGTTTTGAGAAAATATGAATAGTGAATATGAAAAGACGTAATGTATTTATTAATTAAATGAGGATAATAATGGAAAAATATGTACAAAAAATCCAAAACGTCATTTATTTTGTTAATGATTGATAAAACTAAAATGACATTTAAAAAGAATAGGAGGTAGAATAATTTTTATAAATGACATTGATACAATTTTTGTAAAATGATACTAAAAGACATTTAAAGTATATTATATAAATTATAAAAGAGTAACATTTTTTTGAATAAAACAAACATTTATGATATATGATAAGAAAAACTGTTGATGCATTATAGTAAGTAGAATTGAACTTTATCTATTGCAAAGATTTAGTAGCGATAATATATTCTTGTCATTATCTTGAGAAAAAAAAAACATGTGTTATAATAACAAAAGATTAACAATAATTAGAACATTATGCTAATTTTATTCATAAAAAAATATAGTTGCATAATTGTGGATCAGTAAAGAGATAAAAATATAGACAATCACTTTGGCTACAAACTTTTAGATGACCTCAAATTTAAGTCTAAATGAAACAAATGATATCAACTAAAAAAATAGATTAAACAAATTATGCATTTTGGCATCAAACAATTCAATCATTTAGGACAAAAACTGTTATAAAAGGCCTCGTATATAACAAATATTCC